AGGGACTCAATTCTGGTTGGTCTGCTTCCCACAAACATTTCCTGTGCATCTTCTCTGCGAAGAGCAGGGTGCTAAAAGCAAGAGAAAGAGGCATAGGAAGTCCTTTGCTCGAAGGAGTTTACAGTTTAGGAAGTTTAAGAAGGAATCTGATATATAATACACCAATACATGCACAATGTGCTAAAGCAATGTGAAAGGGCCAAAGCTCTCCTGTGACTAGGGAGATGGGAGAGCCTTTGGGGAGGAGATGGAATGTGAAATGGGCTTTAATAAGGGTATTTTTTTTATTTAAGATTTTTTTGATGTGGACCTTTTTTTTTTTTTTTTCTCCATACGCGGGCCTCGCACTGTTGTGGCCTCTCCCGTTGCGGAGCACAGGCTCTGGACGCGCAGGCTCAGTGGCCATGGCTCACGGGCCCATCCGCTCTGTGGCATGTGGGATCTTCCCGGACCGGGGCACGAACCCGTGTCCCCTGCATCGGCAGGCAGACTCTCAACCGCTGCGCCACCAGGGAAGCCCCATTTTTTTTTTTAAATCACAAACATTTATTACTTTCCCCAAAGCAGTTTGAAAAACATTTGGGAGGCAATGTAGAAGGCCCACTAGGTAGAATTAAAAGGCTTCTTTCTTTCCTTTTTTTTTTTTTGAAATATAGTTGATTTAAAAGTTTGTGCTAGTTTCTGGCGTACAGCAAAGTGATTCTGATATATACATATTCTTTTTCAGATTACTTTCCATTATAGGCTATTACAGGTATTGAATATAATTCCCTAATTCCCTGTGCTAAACAGTAGGACATTGGTGTTTATCTATTTTATACACAGTAATGTGTATATTAATCTTTTTTTTTTTTTTTTTTTTTTTTTTGCAGTATGCAGGCCTCTCACCGTTGTGGCCTCTCCCGTTGCAGAGCACAGGCTCCGGATGCCCAGGCTCAGCGGCCTTGGCTCACGGGCCCAGCCGCTTCACGGCATGTGGGATCCTCCCGGACTGGGGCACGAACCCGCGTCCCCCACACCGGCAGGCAGACCCCCAACCACTGCGCCACCAGGGAAGCCCCTGTATATTAATCTTAATCTTAATCTCAAGATCCTAATTTATCCCTCTTCTCCCCTTTCCCCTTTGGTAACCATGTTTGTTTTCTATGTCTGTGAGTCTATTTCTGTTTTGTAAATAAGTTCCTTTGTATCATTTTTTTTAGATTCCACATATAAGTGATATATGATATTTGTCTTTGTCTGACTTACTTCACTTAGTATGATAATCTCTAGGTCCATCCATGTTGCTCCAAATGGCATAATTTCATTCTTTTTTTATGGTATATATATATATATATATACACCACATATTCTTTATCCACTCATTTGTTTTTGGACACTTAGGTTGCTTCCATGTCTTGGCTATTGTAAATAGTGCTGCTATGAACATTGGGGTGAATGTATCTGTTCGAAATAGAGTTTTTGTCTTTTCTGGTTATATGCCCAGGAGTGGGATTCCTGGATCATATGGTAGCTCTATTTTTAGTTTTTTAAGGACCCTCCATACTGTTCTCCATAGTGGCTGCACCAACTTATAGTCCCTCCTACACTCCCTTTTCTCCACACCCTCTCCAGCATTTATTATTCGTAGACTTTTTGATGATGGCCATTCTGACTGGTGTGAGATGATACCTCATTGTAGTTTTGATTTGCATTTCTCTAATAATTAGTGATGTTGAACACCTGTTCATGTGCCTTTTAGCCATCTGTATGTCTTCTCTGGAGAAATATCTATTTAGGTATTCTGCCCATTTTTTTAAAAGATTTATTTATTTTTATTTATTTATTTTGGCTGCGCTGGGTCTTAGGTGCAGCACAAGGGATCTTCGTTGCAGCATGTGGGATCTTTTAGTTGCAGCATGTGGACTTCTTAGTTGTGGCATGCATGCGGGATCTAGTTCCCTGACCAGAGATCGAACCCAGGCCCCCTGCATTGGGAGTGCTGAGTCTTACCCACTGGATGACTAGGGAAGTCCCTCTGCCCATTTTTTGATTGGGTTTTTTGTTTTTCTAATATTTAGCTGTATGAACTGTTTGTATATTTTGGAAATTAAGCCCTTATTGGTCACATTACAAATATTTTCTCTCATTACGTAGGTTGTCTTTTCGTTTTGTTTATGGTCTCCTTTGCTGTGCAAAAGCTTATACGTTTGATTAGGTCAAAAGGCTTCTTTCTTGAACTGAAGTTTCTCTCCTATTCTTGATCAGGTCTCTTGTTTTGAGTTCCAGAGAATATGGCAGGGGAAACAAGCAACATTGTTTCTCATCAAGGCCCAGTATAAGCCCACATGTTGAGCTGCCTGGAGAGTTTGCAATTTCTTTTTTTTTTCTCTTAATCATTATTAGAGTATAGTTGCTTTACAGTGATGTGTTAGTTTTTACTGTACAGCAAAGTGAATCACCTATATGTATACATATATCCCCTCTTTTTTGGATTTCCTTCCCCTTTAGGTCACCACAGAGCACTGAGTAGAGTTCCCTGTGCTATACAGTAGGTTCTCATTAGTTATCTATTTTATACATAGTATCAATAGTGTATATATGTCAATCCCAATCTCCTAGTTCATCCCAACGCCCCCCCCCATTGCCCCCTTGGTATCCATATGTTTGTTCTCTATGTCTGTGTCTCTATTTCTGCTTTGTAAACAAGATCGTCTATACCAATTTTTTCAGATTCCACATATATGTGTTAATATACGATATTTGAGTGTTCCCTGGGGAGGCAAAATTGCCCCCACTTGAGGACCACTGTAATAAATTAAAAGGGTAGATGTGACACCTGGGTAGGGGTAAAATCTAAATGCTTTCTCAAGGGTTTGGATAGGAATGTGAGGAAGAAGATTGAGAGATCAAACAGAGCCACAGAAAAGGCCCTAGAGGCCACGTAGTCTAACCTGCTCATAATTGCTTGCAAGGTTGTAAACTCTTTGGGAGGAAGTTCGGTAAAACCTATAATAATCATAAAAGTTAAACTGACCCAGCAATTCCATTCCTGGTAATCTATCATAAATGTTTCAAATGAAGACAAGTAATCTTTATGTATAAAGCAACAATAGTTACATGGGGACAGTGACCATGTTCTCGACAATTGCACCCTCATGCCTACCACAGTGCCCAGATTTAAGAAGTCGATTTAAGGTTCAGAGGAGGTGAGTTTGAAGATTCTGGAGAGAGAAGTTAAAGCTAATAAAACAAAATCCCAGAGGGGGTGGGAAGGGCAGTTATCAAGAATACAGAATGGCCCCGGGGGCTTACCTGGTGGCGCAGTGGTTGAGAGTCCGCCTGCCGTTGCAGGGAACACGGGTTTGTGCCCCGGTCCAGGAGGATCCCACATGCCGCGGAGTGGGTGGGCCCATGAGCCATGGCCGCTGAGCCTGCGCGTCCGGAGCCTGTGCTCCGCAACGGGAGGGGCCCCAACAGTGAGAGGCCCTCTTACCGCAAAAAAAAAAAAAAAAGAATGGCCCCGATTCCCCTGAGGAGGCGAAGGTCGGCTCCTCCCCACCCCTGCCGCCCGAGTGAACTGGCTTGACGAGGGACCAAAGTTCCCCTGGACCAAGACGCTGCTCGCAGCTCTTCCTAAACAGCATGGGCAGCTCTTCCTAAACAGCATGGGCAGCTCGGAGAGAACACGTGGGACTCAGAGTTGGTTTCCCGCAGCAGCTCGGGGACACAGGAAAGTTTTTGGATGGACGCTCCACTGCCACTAAAAACAGGGAGGATATCGCTCACCTCTGCATCCCTGGTGTCTACAAGGGCGCCTGGCATATGGTCACCTCTCAAGACCTTCTGAAGTAGGATAACACTAGACGTGGACTCTAAAAAGAATCTTAGGCAGCCTGTCTATATAGTGAAGCTCCTCTGAGTCACTTTGACTGGAGAAACTTCGGTCACTTGGTTAAGCACAAGCCAATCATTGTGGCCAGGCCTTCCACAGTCTGGGAGCATTCACTGTGTTCTGCAGCACTTCTGGAGACCCAAGTGGAGTCCCAGCACAGGATGGTTCTCCAAAGGAAATTCAGGGTCTTTCGTCGGGGCGGGGGGGGAGGGGATGGCCGGGATGGATGCTGGGCAGGTATAGTCAGCATATGTTCACTGAATATGGAATTATTAAGTCAGAAAATATTCCTTTCCAGTTTAATTAAGAAGTAGCCTTGGAGATGAACTTCAAGTTTGAGCTGGATTAAACTAGCAAAGATGAAGGGAAGAAAAAGGAAAGTGAGCATTTCCTTGCAGGTTGATTGTGTCCTCTGAAACGTGTCCCATGAAGGCAGGTGATAGTCTGTTTCGTTGTCTTGTTTATGATTGTCACCCCGATGCCATCGCAATGTCTGTCACTTACTAGTCAGTAAACATTTGTTAAATTAAAAAAATAAAATAAAAAAAGAATACAAGTAGAAAAGTCTGTAGCTTCATTTTCAGAGAGAGAGAGAGCAATGACTGAAAATTTGTAATGGAGGAGGAAGGGAAGTTAGGCGGAGGGATTTAGGGCTTCAATCAGTCTGTAGAGAGACCCAGGTGGATCGAAATTTGAACCTAGAACTTTGCCTGAGGGTATTCCTTGAAACCAAGAATTGTGCGCTTTCTCATGCAAAGCTGCTGGGGAACGTGTTTTTCAGAAATAGGGACCTCCCGAGGAACACTGCAATTTGCAGACACTAGAAAGAAAAAGTTCACTAGGTAACTTTTTTTCTCCTGGAGTCCCTGGCAACTTGATTTGTAAACTGCCCCCTAAATATGGAATCCGTGTTAATTTGGCAGGGACTCCGCCGCTCTAGAGGGAAGCCATGCATTGAATTAACATTTTCTAACGGGGCCAACCGGAGGCGCCGGCGGAAGAGTGGTGGGCGGGGACAACCCAGAGGCGGCTGGAGGCCCACCCCTTTCCCAGAGTACACTGCGGAAGCCGACTGCCTGAGCCGGCTTCTCGCCATCTCCCGCTGGGCTCGGGAGAGGGTAGGATCATGGACGGGCTCCGGGCTAGCGCTGGGCTGCCGAGGCGCGGGCGGTTGAGGCGCCGGCGCCAGCCACAGCCACATAGCGGGTCGGTCCTGGCCCTGCCCCTGAGGCCCAGGAAGATCCGAAGGCAGCTGAGGAGAAGTGTCGCGTCCCGGATGGCCGCGCTGAGGGCCCAGGCGCTGCCGAGCGAGGACTCGGAGGACTCGAGGGTGGAGTCGATTGTCGACGATCCCAGGGACCCGCTGGCTGGAGGGGCGGCGGCCCTCTCGGATGTGACCCGGCGGGAGCCGTACGGCCACCTCGGGCCCGCGGAGCTGTTAGAGGCCTCGCCCGCGTCCCGCTCCCTGCAGACTCCCCGCGCCCTGGTGGAGGCGCAGACCCCGCCGGCGCGCTTGGTGGAGGCGCAGACCCCGCCGGCGCGCCTGGTGGAGGCATCCGCCCTGCCTGCACGCCTGGTGCAGGCCTCGGGCCCCCCGCCGCGCTTGGTGGAGACCTCGGCCGTGCTGTGCTCTGCCCAGCACTTGACGGTCGCCCCGCCGTCCATGGCTCCACCGACGCGGTCGGGGCC